TCTAGTGTCCTGGCCCCACTGCTGGACCTCCTGATGGCCCCTGGTATTTCTGGCCACTGTGTGGCACAGAGTGTTGGACTGGATGGGCCGTTGGCCTGATCCAACACCGGCTTCTCTGATGTTCTTATGAGCCCTGCCCTCCCCGCCCCCAAATAAACCCATTCCTTCCAGCCTCTCTTCCTGCCGAGTCGTTCCTCCTTCCAACTCCCCCCTCCCGCCAGGCTGCACCATCGCCCTCAGGCACCTGGGCGGGGGGGGGGAGGCACTTATCTGTCACTAGGCGGCCCCCCAGGAAGGGCAACAGCAGCCACAGGTTCCCGGCCAGGCCCCCCATTCCTGTTGCCATCTCCAAGGCGGGACGCGTCCAATGGGGAGGGAGGGCCAGGCAGCAATGGGGACACCGACGGGGCTGGCAGAGGCGCACGACTGAGCTCGGTCCTGGCCGCGGTGGGTGAGGGAGGAGAGCGGCGCAGAGGCAGCCAATGAGAAAAAGGCCTGGGCGCTGACCCGGCTGTTGCCAGGTGAGGAAACCCCTGAGAGCCGCCCGAGCAGCAGATAGACGAGAAGCAAGTGTGCATGACCGCAGCCCGTCGGAGTCGCCGCTGGACGTCCACACCCCTGGAGGCGGAGCGGCGTCGCCTGCGCGGGCCCGGACTGCCCCCAGCCACTCCGCGCTCCCCAGCAGGAGTCCCGCTGCGCGGCCAAGGCAGCCAGGTCGCGCCGGAGGCTCTCTGGGCCCCAGAAGGTGCGCACGCACCCAAGCCAAGGGTCGTGCACGGGCCTGGAGCGGCCGCCGCCGCGCCGAGTCACACAAGTCCCCGTCCGCGGTGACCCGCGCTGGCTCGGTGTGCCCTGGCGCAGCCCAGCAGGTGCCCCTCCGCCGCGTCCCGCGACACACACTTGTTCCCATGGCGGCCGCAGGGCCGCTCTCGGCGGGGCTGGGGCCGGGCAGCTTGCTTCGCAGTGGGTGGGCGGGGCTTCTGGGGAAATTTCGGGGGGGGGGCGCAAGCCCCTCAGCCCCCCCGCAGATTACGCCGGTGGGATACTTGGATTTGCTGGGTTTATTTCTGATAGCTATGTGGAGACAAAGGGTGCCATGCCTCCTGATTCTCATTGCAAGCATACTCAGAAAATCACCAGGATACTGAGGCAAAGTTGCTGAGGGGCAGAGTGAATGCCTTCCTGCCTTTAATCCTCAGCTTCTTCCTTACTATAGTACACCTCCCTATGCACTGCTTGTATCACCCATCCTCCTCAGCTTTCATAGTCAGCTGCCCACTGTCCTGTCACAACTCTGGTTCCCCCTCTTCCTGTCACATGACCATGTTTGCAGCCTATCGTGTTCCACTTAGGACTTAGAGAAATCCGTCTCTGTCTGTCGCAACGCCCCAAGTATTTCACTGTGCTTTCCTTTTCCTTTTCAAGATGGTTGAAGTTTGTGTGCTCCCCCTCCCTCTCTAATGTTGCAACAATTTGTGCTAGAGAACAGAGTTGGAGACCAGTTGGCACCTTTAAGACCAACAAAGTCTTCTTCAAAGTGTCAGCTTTCATGTGCAAAGCACACTTCTTCAGACAAATTGGAATAAAATCTCCTCAACGGTTACTTACAGGAAAAAAGAGGGTGGGGGCAGCCGTCAGGAGGGGCCACTCAGTGCCAAGATGCATATGCAGAGCTGAAATTGGATCAGGTGGCTGGTAAGATCTTCTTGGGGAAACAACTATTACACTTGAGCACATGCTCTGTCCTGCCTTCACTTAACTCAAGCTCTGATCATACACAGAAGTTGCCGCGGGATACTCATGGACAGGCCCGTAGCCAGGATTTTGTCATTCAGGGGGCTTTTAAATAAGTCAGGGGGCACTAACGTCCCAAAATAAAAATTTTAAAACTAACTTTTGCATTGTTTGCACTCTGCTTGCCTACATGGGGAAGCAAGCCACGCTTGAGGAAGGGGCGGGGGTGGGGAGTCCTCCGGGGGGCCCAGAGAGTCAGGGGGCCTGGGTGCTGGATGGAAGTCAGGGGGCCTTGGCAGAAAGTCAGGGGGCCAGGCCCCAAAATGCCTCACTGTAGCTACAGGCCTGCTCATGGATGCCGAGTTGATTTAACGGGTGTGATCACACCAGCACATCTGGCAAGTGTCGCACACCTGTTGGCAAGCCATCGCATCCCACCGAAGATTCGTAGTTCAAAGCTACTGCAGAAACACCAGTATTATCCGCTTGCGATGGGCCACAGATGGTCGTCCTCTGTCTGATCACTCCAGCGCCGCATGAAGCGCACCGGAATTGTGCACAGACAAAATGCTACCCCCGATTCCCTGCCGTCGCGTCTGATCGCGTTCGGCTGGGTCACAAGTGCGGTGGAGTGAAAAGCCATGCCTCCACCCCCCCCCCGCGTGTTCTCTGGCCAGTGTGACAGGGACCTCAGAAAGCTTTTTGATCATCTTCAGTATTTATAGATCAAAGGCACCACCTAGTGGTCCTAATTGCAGATGACAGGATGATTTAAGAGCGATGACAGCTCAACTCCATCACTTGTGATTTCGGGCCTGGCCGCTCACATTCCATTTAGGTCATTAAAATATGTATATACTGGTTCCCCACTCTAGGCAGCTTTTAGAGATGTTTAGTGCTGAAGATTCCCTGAAAAACTCCAACAGAAATCTTTGCACAATTCTGAGTGAAGAAACTGCTCAAGCCCCAAATCCATCTTCTAAGTTCTTTTCCATGGGTAGGGATGCCAGCCCCCAGGTGGGACCTTGGGATCCCCTGGAATTAACATTCAACTCCAGACTACAGAGATCAGTTTCCCTGGAGATAATGGATGCTTGGGAAGGTGGATGCTATGGCACTGTACCCTACAGAGGTCTCTGTCCTCCAACCACAAATCTCCAGGAGTGTCCCAGCCTGGATCTGAAAAACCTATCTATGAGGATCAGTACTGGGGCCGATACTATTTAGTTTATTCATGAGTGGTCTGGAACTAGGGCTGAGTAGTGTAGTGGCCAAGTTTACAGCTGACACCAAATTATTCAGGATGGTGAAAACCAAGGCTGACTGTGAAGAGCTCCAAGAGGACCTTCACAAACTGGGTCAGTGGACAACAATGTGGCAAATGAAGTTCAGTGTTGGTAAGTGTAAGGTGATGCACATTGGGACCAAAAAAAAATCCCAACTTCAAGTATAGGCTAGTGGGGTTTGAACCTGCTGAGACTGAGAGGGGAAAAGATCTTGGGGTTGTAGTGGATAGCTCAATGAAAGTGTCAGCCCAGCATGCGGCAGCAATTTAAAAGGCAAACTCTATGTTAGGGATTATTAGGAAAGGGACTGCGAATAAAATGGCTTATATTTTAACGACTCGTTAGAGATCGATGGTGTGGCCTCATTTGGAATACTGTGTATAGTTCTGGTCACTGTATCTCCAAAAGGAGATTGCAGAGCTGGGGGGAAAGCACAGAGGAGGGCAACCAAGATGATTAGGGGGTTTGGAGCATCTCCCCTCTGAGGAAAGGCTGAAGAGTCTGAGGCTTTTCAATTTAGAAAAGAGATGACTAAGGAGGTACTTGACAGAGGTTTATAAAACTATGCAAGGGGTGGAGAAAGTTGACAAAGAGATATTTCTCTCCCTCTCCCAAATTACTAAAACTCAAGGGCATCCAATGATGCTGGTGGGCAGTAGTCTTATGATGGACAAAAGGAAATACTACTTTACACAGAGAGTGATTAAACTGTGGAATTTCCTGTTATGTAGTGATGGCCACAGGAATAAACAGGTTCAAAAGGGGCTTAGATAGATTCATGGAGGATAAGTCTTATCAGTGGCTACTAGCCATGGTGCCTGAGGGGAACCTCCACATTCAGAGTCACTAAACCTCTGAATCCCAGCGCCAGGAGGCAAACATCAGGGGAAGGCCTCAGCCTCTATGCCCTGTTGTTGGCCCTCCAGAGTTACTGGTTGGCCACTGTGTGAGATAGGATGCTGGACTAGATGGACTACTGGTCTGATCCAGCAGGGCTATTCTTATGTTTTTAACCTTCTTTGGGCATTTTTAAGGTGAGGCTAGATGATCATCTGACAGAAATGCTGATTCTATTAAGCACTATGAATTTAGGCAGATTGTGAGGGTGGGAAGGGATGAGTCACTGTTTAACTCTCATAGACCTTTCTTATATGTCTAGGGTAATGCTGATCATCCTTTGGTGTCAGGATAAATTTTTTTTCTCCAGGCCAGACTGGCCCATAGTTCCTGGAAGTTTTCTGCTTTCCTCTGGGCATAGAAAAGGGGTCACTGGGGGAGTGGAGAGAAAGGTAGCTTTGGATTTCCTGCACTGTGCAGGGGGTTGGACTAAGTGACTCTTGTGGTCCCTTCCAGCTCCATGTTTCTACCTTTTTAAGGCTCTGCTCAGATGAGGGAAGTTCATCTGGACTTCACTACTATTTCTGGTATATGTTATCTGTTGCTGTATGCATGATCAAATTCTCAGTGCATTTTATTTCTGCATATGTAATCCTATTTACTACTGGTTTCACATGACATGCTGTTAGTCGAATTGCTTTATCTACAGCAATTGGCAGAATTTAATCTGGGTGCTTGCCAACTATACCAAGGTCCTGTTCCCACCAAAGGATTACCAGTGAAAGGAGTCGAGGCTGGTGTTCTTAATATAACTGTCTTTTACTTAAGAAAATATAAATCACATACAAACAATACTGATACACGCACACATTCAAGCAAGTTTCTTAGAAATACAGTATTAAGAATAGTCAGTTTTGCATTAGCAGGTATGATGATGAAGGGTGATACTTATCTGTCCTGAAGCTTGTTCATTCCAATGAAGAATGGAGGGGCAGAAAATAGAATTCTAGGGAAGTTTAACACACAGCTAGAACCAGCCAGCTTGTGTGGGTCTCCTGGCTGCAGACCAAGAGATCAAGTAGAGGCAAGGGTTTGGGGTATAGCAAGCTTGACAAAAGGGAAGTTAAAGCAGACAGGGGGGATTGGGGGGGATTGTGGCTAGCAAGGGCCAGGCGACTGGTCCTTACCTTTTATAAGTGGATCTTTGGGTGGGTGGCAACTGTGCCAACCTGTGGACCCACCTACCTGTTAGTCGGTCCCAAAACTAATCCTATTGGTTGCATGTAGTGAGGGGTGGCAACCTAGAGGGTTGGGCAATATTGTGACTTAAGATCTAACTCAAAGGATGGCATCTGGGCAAGTGTGAAACTTGGCGTCAAGGAACCTCCTTTAAGTGCAGATGAAGCTGGCCATTCTCTGGTGAAAAAAGGTCCATCTAGTAGGGAATGCCAATGTAAAATAAAGCAGAGATGCAGAATACGTGACTGCAGGCAGTTTAGCAATGGGGGCTGCTTCTTCTTTGAGTTGCTGTTTTGCTGACAACAATGGAGATGTGTGCTTTCTCACCAGGCTGATGCTGTGTATCTGAAACCTTATAAACATGTAAGGCATATGCCGGCACCTTCTATGTGTAGTATCACAACAGGTGATTTGTACATCTTTCTGAGTCTAGTGTGTGTGTGAGCACAGTCTATTTGTGTGTGTGTAGCAGCAAACATAAATCCATAAAGCAAATATCAATCTCAGTCCTTAAAAATGCTTTATACTTATGCCTGGTTCGGACAAGAGCTCTGCTTCAGATTTTTGCAATCCCAGCCCTATTACATTACTTAATAGCGACCTTATCCTATTCATTGCATTGAATTACATTGTGTGATCTGCCTTGAGTCTCAGTGAGAACAGTGGACTATAAATAATGTAAATAAAATAAAACTACACAAACAGCATTAATTAATCCATTTAACATCACAACACTTTCCAACAACACTCATAGGGAACACTTTCCCTATGAGGAAAGGTTAAAGTGCTTAGGGCTCTTTAGCTTGGAGAAACGATGACTGGGGGGTGACATGATTGAGGTTTATAAGATTATGCATGGGATAGAGCAGGTAGAGAACGAGGTACTTTTCTCCCTTTCTCACAATACAAGAACTCGTGGGCACTCCATGAAATTGCTAAGCGGTTGGGTTAGAACGGATAAAAGGAAGTACTTCTTCACCCAAAGAGTGATTAACACATGGAATTCACTGCCACAGAAAGTGGTGGTGGCTACAAGCATGGACGGCTTCAAAAGGGAATTAGATAAGCATATGGAGCAGAGGTCCATCAGTGGCTATTAGCCACAAGGTACAGATAGGGGCTCTGGGGCAAGTGATCCTCTGTCTTCTTGGTGCTTGGGGGGGGGGGGTCAACAGTGGGAGGGCTTCTAATATCCTGGCCCCACTGGTGGACCTCCTGATGGCACTGGGATTTCTGGCCACTGTGTGACACAGAGTGTTGCTGGATGGGCCTTTGGCCTGATCCAACACTGGCGTCTCTTATGTTCTTATGTACAAGATCGATATATTCAGTGAATGATATGTTTAATTTTATGTACTTTATGTCTTTTTAAGCAAATGGGTAACATGTATTTAGAATGCTTCAGCTGTGTAAGGTGGTCCCAAATTGCAGATGGAAAGATGAGGATGAGAAAGAGCAGCTTGCCTAAGATCACTCCATGAGGATGTGGCAACGATGAGACTGAACACCCAACCTGCCAGACCTCAGGTCAGCCTCTTAAGCTACCTCTTGCAAAGCTCTCTGCTCTTCAGAATAAAAGACAGGCAGAAGATTTTGTTTCAGTTCCCTATTTGACTGTATCATTGTGTTTACCTCCAGCTGCTACCACTGCCATGCTCTGTACCACAATAATAATCAGCCTCATCTTCTGCCTGGATTCCTGTGATGGTTAAATAGCCAGTGTTTGCAGACGTGTCTTTGGACCCAGAGAAACGAGAGGGGACCCCAGAGCCCTGGCCCTTGCTGGAATCTGACTTATAATACAAGAGGTATCTTGGGGGATTCCCAGGCTTCTGCTGATACCAGTACACATAGTAGCCACTGATGCTGAACCCACTGCCCATGGCACAGGAGAGCATCACTGTGCTCCCTGGTGACACTGATGTTGATGGAGGTTGAGTCAACACAGGCTGAGAATCTGAACCTGGAAAAAAGAATATTGCAGAAATTGTCAGGCCCACTTGCTTATCAGCTGCATTCATCTCAACAGGAATTTGAGTGTGCATTTGATCTTCTCTTACCTGTGCACCACAGCACTAGAAGGCTGAGGACGGGAGGCCAGAACATGATGATGGGCTTGTTGATGCAATGAGGAGAGGAAACAAAAGAGATGATATAGGAAGTCTTAACAATAATGCCCCCTTATATCTCTCCTCTTTGCATCTGTGCTCCGCCTTCCTGTTAGTCATGGGTAATTTGATTGGCCCTAGTGATGAAAGGGGACACTTAAAGGCCAGTTGGGCCATTCTTGAGTGAGTGATGCTTCGCCCTCACCACAAAAGGGTTGTGTCTTTGAATGATGGTAGGTTGGGGTTGGGTTGTTTTGTTTCAATCCTTCTTTCCTGGGGAGGGATATAACATGCACCAAATGTATGATGAGCACCGTATTTCAGGGGACAGCTCCTTCTGCTGAAGGAAATCCCATCTGATAATGAAATGGATACAGAGTATCCAACCTGCTATGTACCACACATACTAAAGGCCTTTGTAGTTGGCTTCTATTAATGTACATGAATTAAATATTGTGAGCAAAATAATGAGTACATCTTGAAATCCCTTTTTCACTCGTAATACTGTATTTGATGGCTGGAAATAATCAAATCAACTGCAAGATGGGGAGTCCCTTTTTATACCTTTTTCCATGCTTTCTAGAAGGTGGGTGTTTCAGGAAGGTCTCTGGCCCCTTATGGGGCACCATCAACCAGTACCATTGATTAAAATCCCTCATGGGTTTGTACTGCTTTGTTAGGAAAAAAAGGACACAGTTACTGTGAGACTGGTGTAAATGACAGATGTCTGGAGATGAAGACCCCTGCTCTAGATGCACCTATCTGCCTATCCTTGCAACAACATGCCAGGTACATCACTTTCCTTTTTAAAGAGAGCAATCTGAAGCAAGTCTACTCAGAACCCTAGTCAGGTCTATTTGACAGGGCTTGACCCCATGAAAGTGTTCTAAGATTGTACAGTAAATTGCTGAAGTCTGTGTACTCCCCTTCTCCAATGCTGAAACAATTTGTGGCCTGAGAGTCCGTGTCAGTTTATGCACCTCTGCCAAGAGAGACAGAGAGAGAGAGAGAAGCATTGAGCTGGAACATCATGTATCATCTGCGCTACTTCATTTCCTTGCTTGACTAGAGAAAGCAAATTTGATGGTATTCAGCATGATACATCAAGGACATCCTCTAGTGGTCGTAACTGCCAGTGCCATGATAATACCATGATTTCAACTTCATAGCAAATGTTTTCCAAAAGGCTAACCACATTTTTTAAAAAATATTTAATTAATTTATTTTAGAGAGCTTGTACACAGTTTCTCTACTCTAGACAGTTTTTAGAGATATTTAGTAGTGAGGATTCCCTTCAGGGCATATTCTCCAATAGAATTATTGGCATAAATCTGAGCAAAGAAACTGCTCTCAACCAGAGACCCTCATATGAGTTCTCTTCAAGGGCGCATTGGGGAGGGGGGTATGGCCCTGAAAAATGGTCACATCGCCCCAGCATGCCCCACATACCCCTAGCTTGCCTCCCCTCTCCCAAAGGGAGGGAAAGAGAACATAGCCAGCCAGCAATGAGTAGGATTTGCCCAGTTTGGATCCCTCACCACAGCAAGGCCAAGCCAGACAGAAATCCCTTGCTGAGGCAAGGCTGGGCTGGCCACAGGTCCCTCATTGTGGTGAAACCAGGTCAGATACGTGTCCCCCAGTGAGGTCGAGTACTGCGTAAGTATAAAAAGAAAGTAACGAGAGTAAAATATGCATACAGCAAACAGATAATATGCACTGTGGCTTAGTTTGCAGTCCCATTCCTTTTACAAAAATGCCTCCCTGAACCATTTTGTTATAGTATGACCCTATTGCCTTTATAAAAATTATCTCCTGAACAGTTCTGCTTTATATAGTGGAATGACAGAAGTGTGGCGGCCTTCCATCCTGACCCCTTCAGACAGGCCATTCCACAAAGTAATGGACCCAAACAGAAGAATTTATGCACAGGGGTAGGTGTTAATCTTGCCCATTTGCAGGGTGGCACCTGCAAAAGGCCCTGCCCATCTGCCCTTTACTGTTTATGGTAAGTATTATCTGTTGCTGTATGCATTCCCCTGTTCTCAGTGCATTGTGTTTCTACTTAAGCAATATCATTTGCTGCTGTTTTAAGCAGCATTATAGCAAATTAAGTAACTTGAGAGCCAGTTTGGTGTAGTGGTTAAGTGCACGGACTCTAACCTGGGAGAACCGGGTTTGATGCCCCACTCCTCCACTTGCACCTGGCTGGGTGACCTTGGGCAAGCCATAGTTCTGTCAGAGCTGTGCTTGAAAAAAGAGCAGTTTCTGTCAAAGCTCTCTCAGCCCCACCCACCTCATAGGGTGTCTGTTGTGGGGAGGGGAAGGGAAAGGAGTTTGTAAGCCGCTCTGAGACTCCTTTGGGTAGTGAGAGGTGGGGTATAAATCCAATCTCTTCTTCTCTTCTTCTGCTGAGCATGTCATTCTTAATACTTACGCTTTGTTCAGATTTCTGCTTTGTTTCGTATTTCTGCAATCCCAGTCCTACTAAGTGGCTTGTTGAATGCCTCATCCTCTTGATTGCAATGATGTGCATTGTCTAATCTGCCTTGAGTCTCAGTGAGAAAGGTGGACTATAAATCATTAAAATAAAATAAAAATTACAAGAAAGGCATGAATCAACATTACAACTATGATATATTCAATGAACAATGTTTTTAAATTGATTAATGTATGTATGTATGTATTTAAAATGCCTCAGCACACATGGTTGCCCAATATTATTATTAGTCCCATATTGCAGATGGGAAAAAATAATTTTGAGAAAGAGCGGCTCCACAACTATGCAGCAAGGATGAGACTGGACCTCCAACCTGCGAGACCTCAGCTTACTCTCTTAAGCCAAGGTGTACCTTTCAAAATTCGGCTGTTCAGATCCAACTCAGGGGGGAGGTTTTGTCTCAGTTCCCCATTTGACTGTATCACCGTGTTTACCTCCAGCCACCACCAGTGCCATAAGCTGTAAGACAGTAATAATCAGCCTCATCTTCTGCCAGGGATCCCGTGATGGTTAAATAGGCTGTGTTTGCAGACGCGTCTTTGGACCCAGAGAAACGAGAGGGGACTCTGGAGCCCTGAAGCACATTGGAGTCTGAATAATATCGTACAAGGAATCGTGGGGGGTTCTCAGGCGTCTGCTGGTACCAATATATGTACTGGCCACTGATGCTGAACGCTCTGCTCAGAACACAGGAGAGTGTTGCTGTGTTCCCTGGTGCCACTGCCACTGATGGTGGCTGAGTCAGAACAGGCTGAGAGTTGGAACCTGCAAAAAAGAAAATGGTAGAAATAGTTGCACTGACTCTGCATCACCTGTCCTCACCTTAGCAGGAATTTCTGTGTGTATCTGACCTGCTCTCACCTGAGCACCACAACACTAGAAGGCTGAGAATGGGAGGCCAGAACATGATGAACTGATCAGGAGATTCAATGAGGAAAAAAAACAAAACAGATTACATTGGAAGTCTTTATAACAACGAACCTTTATATCTTCCCTCTTTGCAGTTGTGCTCCGCCTTCTTGTTAATCATGTGTGTAATCTGATTGGCTCTAAGGATGATGGGTGTATTTAAAGGCAAAATGTTCCATTCTTGAGTGAGTAAAATGTCCCCCTGGCCTCAGAAGAGCTCTGTCTTAGATATGCTACAAGCTGGGGTTGTGTTCTTGGTTTTATTAAAATCACTCTTAATTGGGGGGAAAGGACATGTGGGACCCCAACATATATGACATCTTATAAATCAGTGTCAAGTGATATGGATTAACAGAATCGTGTACAGATAATTCTGGATGTGAAGGAATCTCTTTTTCAGAAAGGAATGAAATATTCACATTTGTGCCAATTTGAGTAGGGGTAGGGTAAGGAGTTAATGGGCAGAAGAGCTGCATTAAATTATTCTGCATAATTGTGACCTTCCATATTATGGCGTGGCAGGGTTGCCAGCCCCCAGGTCTGGGCAGGGGTTCCCCCGCTTCTGGGGAATTCAATTCAATCCACCCCAGGCCAGCTCACAAAAAGACCCTTCCCAGTGGGCTAATGGCCCTACATAATATGGGTGGCAGCTGTTGCAAGCCACCAACCTCCACCCAGTGCAAGGAAGGCAAAGTGTGGCCACAAATGTGACACAAGGTAGTTGGGGCAAGCTGCAGTGAGCCTGCTTCTTTCTTCCCCTGAGCTTTGGAAGCAGGGGCTGGCCCTCTTCCTCCCTCCTTGCCCCCTCTTTGGAAGGTGGTGATGAGGGTGGAGCAGGAGGCATTGCCCTTTTCCAGGGCCCTTTTGGCCTCCCAGTCCACCCTGCCTATATAGTGAAAGAATTCCATTTTACTACATCCCTATTTCCTCTGTGCAAATTCCTTCCTGACTGTTCCTTTTTTCACATTCTGCAAAATAATAGAAGGTTGGGAGCCTTTCTTGCCTCATCAGGCAGGCCATTCTATTGAGGGCGGGAGTCACACTGGGGCCCCCTGGAGATCTCCTGGAATTGCAACTGATCTCCAGACTACACGGATCAATTCCTCTGAAAAGAACAGCTGCTTTGGAGGATGGAGTCTATGCTATTATATCCCACTGAGCTCCCTCCCCAAACTCTGCCTTTCCCACTCTCCACCCCTAAATCTCCAGGAATTTCCCAGCTCAGAGTTCGCAACCCTAAATAGTGACTTGATCATAATTGGTAGCTGCCTGGTGGCTCTCAGTCCTGCATTAGCAAGTATTTCAGTTGTCATGAGTAGAGATTCTAGCAGATCCGTTATTCTTTCATGCCCTTTTGAACTCTCACGTAAAATCAAGAGTGGTCAGAAACAAGATTATCATCTTCTTTCTCTGAATTCTCAGGAGTGAAGCACAGAATGCTGATCCCCACTCAAGAACAAGAAGGCGGAACCAAGTTGCAATTCTCAAATTAATCTCAGGAGAAAAGTGGGTTACTTTGTATAGATTTGCATATAATAGAGTGGGAAAGGCAGAGGTCATTTTGGGGGGATCATGGGGGATCGCAGTTCCCCCGGGTGAGGTACTGGGGGGCGGGGCACATGACGAAGCCCTGCCCCCCGCTTCCGGCCGCCCCGCTTCCAGCCCTCATTCAGCCAGGAGGAGGCAGGAGAAGAGGGAGGGTAAGTTGCTTCCTCCCTGCCTCTCCCCACCCCTGCCTGCCTGGGGCCAAGGAGGGCCTTCGCGGGGCTTCCTTGCACTCCCGCTGGCCTTGCAGGTACACCGCCGGGCCCCTCATGGGACTCGGCAGTGGAGCTGCAAGGCCGCCGGTGGCGGCCGGGACTGTTGGGGGCGGGGTGTGTGGCCTTATGACACACTTCCGGTGATGTCAGGGGGTGTGGCCTTATGACACACTTCCGGTGATGTCAGGGGGTGTGGCATATGCTAATGAGTTATGCTAATGAGTTCCCCTAGCTCTTTTTCTATGAAACGACCCCTGGGGAAAGGGAATTGAGAAAACCATACCTCTCAAAGGCATTCATCATTATGTTCAGATGAAATGTGTGTTTCAAACAATCAAGAAGACAGTTGTCTTCTTATGTAGACTTTCAAACATTTCTCGTGAAAGTGGCTTGGTGAGTACATCTGCAATCATTTCATCTGTAGGACAGTATTCCAACTCAGCAGGCCCCAGTGAGTTACGTTGTCTTATCTGCCTTAAGTCTCAGTGAGAATGGTGGACTATAAAGGATGAAAATAAAATTTAAAAAACTACATGAAATGCATGAATCAATCCATTCAACATCACAAGAATGATATATTCAGTGAATTATATATTTAATTTTATGTACTTCATGTCTTTTTAAGCAAATGGTTAAAATGTATTCAAAATGCCGCATAAAGTAAGCCAATATTGTTGTCCCAACTTGCAGATGGGAACTGAGGATGAGAAATAGTGTCTTGCCCAAGATCACTCCATGAGGATGCAGCAGAGATCATGTTGAATCTTCAACCTGCCAGGTCTCAACTTAGCCTCTTAAGCACAAAACTGTATCTTGCAAAACTCGACTGTTCAAAGCCAAGCACAGGAAGAAGATTTTGTCTCATTTCCCCATATGATTGTATCACTGTGTTTACCTCCAGCTGCTACCACTGCTATAAGCTACAGCACAGTAATAATCAGTCTCATCTTCTTCCTGGGCTCCCATGATGGTTAAATGGCACGTGTTTGAAGATGTGTCTTTGGAAGCAGAGAAACGAGAAGGGACCCCCGAGCCCTGGTGCTTGCTGGAATCAGAATCATAATATAAGAGGTATCTTGGAGGATTCCCAGGTTTCTGCTGGTACCAGTATACACCATAGACACTGATGCTGGATCCGCTGCTCATGACACAGGGGAGTTTTGTTGTGTTCCCTGGTGACACCGATGCTGATGATGGCTGAGTCAGCACAGGCTGAGAATATGAACCTGGAAAAGAGAATGTGGCAGAAAATGTTTGGCACACTTTGCTTGTCAGGTCCACTGCTCTCAACTGGAATTTCAGTGTGTATTTGACCTGCTCTCACCTGTGCACCACAACACTAGCAGAATGAGAAGGGGAGACTGGAACATGATGAATTGATTGGGTAATCCAATGAGGAAAGGAAACAAAAGAAAGAGAAATGTGGGAAGTCTTAGCAATACTGTCCCTTTATATCTCTCCTCTTTGCATTTGTGCTCCGCCTTCCTGTTAGTCATGTTTAATCTGATTGGCTCTAATGATTATAGGTGTAGTTAAAGTCAAGATGCTTCATTCTAGAGTGAGTAAAATTTTCCCCAGCCGCAGAAGAGTCTGTCTTAGGCTGTGGTCACACACACTAAATAATCCACTTTCCAACTAGATTTTGCCAGTTCACACAGTAAAAATCCAGTTGGAAAGTGCACTGAAAGTGGATTATTTAGCGTGTGTGGTCACAGCCTTAGATTTGCACCAGGCTAGGTTGATTGTTTTATATAAATTATTCTTCATTTGGGGAACCTGGCATATATGATCACATTTTATAAATTAGTGTCAAGTGATTAGAATTTACATGTGTGAATGAATCCCTTTTTCATTCGGGTATTGAAGGGAACGATACATATTTTGACAAATCTGATCATGGGCTGAAGTGTACAATTAGATATTTTTTAATGGGCAAATACTTGACATTAAATTATCTTGAGTAATTGTGGCCTTCCATACGTAAGAGAGACCAGGTGCTCTTCCCAGATAGATATCCAACGAGGAAGGAAGAAACTTGTACAGGAGGAAATGAAGTGCTTTGCTGAAAAGAACTTCTGCTAGTCAGGGTCATGGCTCAGGTGGGTTCTCTGGCCTTAGAATTAGCTGTGACTAGCTTAAGGTAGACTCCCTGATCTCAGCTGTGACCAGTTTATAGTCTCAGAAAAGTAGATGAGAACTTTGAAACAAATGAGTGATCTTTCCTAAGGTTTCTATGCACATTATGAAGCAAACAGAACTGCTGTGTACGTGCTCACCTTACACCTGCAGTTCCTGCAGCAGAGTGGGTGACCTACAGGAATGTACAGTACATGGTTGCTTGAATTCCCTTGAGAGGAAGCCATAATATTTCCCTGATGTCTCAGAATCTTCATTGCATGAGTTTTAATATGGGTAAATTGGTGACTTCCAAGTGACTGTCACAGTTTCCAGATACACATTTATGGAACCGGAACATGCATGAGTTTAACATCTTCAGATGATTGGCAGGGAACTCCAATGATCGTACAGCCGTTGTGGGAGAACGTGGAGTGGAAAGGTGTGCTGTGCTGTGATTTTGCCCTCAGGGGTTCAGAGGGGAGGATGAAGAATTGAGCCTCACCAGAGCTTCCTGAGGCAAGGAGATTTTTTGGTTCAAACCTTCCTGGGAGGGTTGGGAAATTCCTGGAGATTTGGGGGTGGAGCTTTGGGATGGTAGGGTTTGGGGAGGGGAGGGACCTCAGCAGGGTAGAATGCCATTGAGTTCACCCTTCAAAGCAGCCATTTTCATCTGTCATCTGGAGATCAGCTGTAATTCCTGGAGATCTCCAAGCCCCACCTGGAGGTTGGCAGCTCTACTTTCTGTTCCCTTTTCAGTTGCCCTTGATCTTGCAAATGGCATGTATAGTCAAATAATGTCACTGTCAATTGAAACACCCCATCATATCTGCTGTGCACCACGTAGAAGCAGCCCAATGCTCAGATTTTTGTTATCTTCAAGCATATAATCTTATGCTTGAATATTATTATATATCTTCAAGCATAAGAAGCAAATCGAATATTTTGAAGCTAAACTTCTGTTTGACAATTCCTATGCAAAGGAAAATGGTGGAATTGTACAAATTAGTAGATGTGAACAACCAAGGCAAGAACGATGGAAAATGCAGGAGGAAGTTGAATGCTTGGCTAGAAAGAACTTCTACTGGAGGGGGCACTGACTCTGGAGGACTCTGGCATTAGAGTCCTAAATGGCTTAGGACCAGGGTATCTGAGCTTTTGCCCAGGTGGCTTCTTAAACGATTAAGATCAGTGAGGTCAATTCGACAGGTGTAACTCTGCTTAAGAAGAATGGCAAAGCTACCGTGCTGTGGTTAGGATTATGCTTCCACGAATTTGGAGGAGTGGATTGGGTATGGGTAGCTGGGGGGAGGGGGGTGATCACTATTTTAGTCTTTTAGAGTTTATGAGAAATAATCACCTGAAGTAAATCTGAATGGATTTTCTTTCCCCTTTCAGTATAAAACTGATTTTTCGAAATCTGTTTTTCATGGAGAGGCAGGGCGGGGCAAGAATTCTGCCTATGGATAGAATAATTCTGCCGAAATATATGAAGAGGGAATGAATGCACAAATGAATACACATTCCAGAAAATGAAACAAAATAATGATTTTTAATAAATCATACTGTTACTTGTTTGTGTATTTTGCCACCCAAGAAGAAATAAGAGACAGACACAAGTGTTGGGTTTAACTACTGGGCCACTTTATTAAATGACACCTTAAGTGTAACCAACGGCAAGGGCAAACACTTCAGCGGTATAATCAAGGCCCAGGGGTCTCCGACCCCTTCCTTAACTTTTGACATAGGGCGAGCCACCCAACCCAAGGCTGGAGCCATCAGTGATGGTTCCCGCCCGGCCGGTTAGCCATTACAGGACGACCCCCATAGCCCCAACTCCCGAGCCGCTAGGTTCAAAGAGAGGACCAAACGGGGTGTTCCCACAGGCAGTCTGCTTTCCCCGCCCCGTGCCGCTAGGCACAATTCTGTACTCACTAGACCCCTTTCAACCCAAAATATGGGTGTTGGCTGGTGCTCACCGTACCGCCACCTACACACCGCCTATAACCCTGCCCACTAAAGTGACCAACCTAACCTAACGGCCCACCCTTAAAAAACACCTTCATCACTGCTGTAGTACAGGGTAGGCAAAAACACCCCCTCCACATGCCAATCAGGAGGGTGTGAAAAATTCCTACCCGGCCCCCAAATGGGCGACCAGCCAAGCCTGCACTAAAAACAGGGCGGGAGGGTGGGTCGACGACTCGGTGAACTGCTGCCGAGCCAGGGAGGGGGGCCAGCTTAAAACTCCTTAGGCCCCTCCTCCCCCTTGGATCCAACCGGGCCATTTGGGCCCCGCCACGACTGCCAGTCTCATTCTTCTGGGCGGCAGATATGCCTCCCCAGCCCAACGGCCTTTCCGGCCGAGGGCTGTTGATCCGGCTTGGCAAAGAGGTAAGCAGGATTCAGACTGATTCAGCCTTGGAAGGTGGGCCAGGATTGTTAGCCCCATGCTGATAGGAGCTGGGACTGAGAGAGACCCACGGACCTAAGGGGCAAGAGTGGTCAGCTCTAATGAGACTACTGAAGCACCCACCTACCAGATCAGCTCCTTTAGCGCAGAGATATACCTGACAAAGCTGAGCTGTTCTGAACCAAGCACAGTGGGAAGCTTTTGTCTCAGTTCCCCAATTGATTGTATCACTGTGTTTACCTCCAGCTGCTACCACCACCATGATCTCCACAACAGTAGTAATCAGCCTCGTCTTCTGCCTGGACTCCCTTGATGGTTAAGTAGAAGGTGTTGCTGGATGTGTCTTTGGAAGCAGAGAAACGAGAGGGGACCCCCGAGCCCTGGTGCTTGCTGGAATCGGAATAATACCGTAAGAGATATCTTGGGGGATTCCCAGGCTTCTGCTGGTACCAGACCATGGTGGAGCCACCGATGCTGAACCCGCTGCTGCCCACACAGGAGAGTTTTGTTGTAGTGCCTGCTGACACAGATGCCGATGGTGGCTGAGACAGAGCCGGCTGAGAGTATGAACCTGCCCAAAAAGTAATGGAAAAATGGTCAGACCAACTTTGCCCATCAGCTGCACTCACCTTAGCAATGACTGGAATATCCATTTGACCCACTCTCACCTGTGCAACACATCCCTAGAAGAGTGAGAATGAGTGGCCAGAACATGATGATTTGATTCAGTGATCCAGTGAGGAAAGGAAACACACTGGAAGTCTTTACAAAGGAAGTCCTTTTATTTCTGTCCTATTTGCGTCTCTGCTCCGCCCCCATGTTAATAAACTGTAATCTGATTGGCTCTATTGTTAGGTTAGGATTTGCCAGTCTTAGGTGATTGATACTTCAACCTGATCTCTCTCTCTTTTTTTAGCAGTGAACCTTTAGGATTGTCTTGAATGTTATATTTGAATTTTCTTCATTGTGTTTGTATGTGTGTGGGGGGGAGATAGTAAAAATATAATGGGCACCAAGCAGAGAGGGTTATATCCTGGTACTTTGTGTCAATGTGAACTAATCATAAATGGGTGATAGAATCCCTTTTTAATCCAGGTATTGAAAGGATGGGATGGATCCATATTTTATTACTAATCCAATCAGATTAGAGGCTGCCACTGAAAGGCATGATGTGCCATTTTCAATGATTGATACTTCAGTCTGGCATCGTGAGTCTGCTCTTTCAATTTGCCTTTGAGCTGAGCTGGTTTGCTTGGTACAGGGCCTGGGTTGGACATTTTGTTTCAGACCAACATTTTCTGGGGAGATGTGCACAAGACATATAAATTCATAGACTAGTATTTTGTGTCAGGCATCAGCAATAGTGACAAAAACCAAAGAAAAAAAAAGGGGGGGGGGAACTCAACCCAAAATGTAGCTGCGATCTAAGAGGGTCAAGCTAACATATAAATTATATAAAAAATACAAATATTTATTAGGGTGTACACATAACTAAAGCATACATACAGTTAAAAGAAATAGTCTAAATATCAGACTCTTAAAGCTTCTATCATCAAAGCTGATATACATATCCAATTGATGAGTATAACTTATGACCTAAGGGCCATAGCGTTTCAGCTCCTTTGGGCCTTCCTCAATGGTCAGTATTCTGTATTTTACAAAGACACACATCCAGAAATACATGCATAAAGAATTTTGTATATATATATGACGAGATGTTGCTTTCTTATATGCTTTGCATTTGCTACAAGTTTGTATAGTGGGCCATAGATAGTAGCTCTGCAAATTCTCCAATTTATTCTGGTAGCGAATATCCCATTCATCAGGATGTGTGTCACTTCCATCAAAGGAAGTTTT